GATAAGCAGTAAAGAATGAATTACAAATGAGGAATTTAGGTAATTGAGTAGAATTAGCAGAATACAATGGGCAGGAGAGATAATAAGATGATGAGATTAAAATGCAATCAACGATGCCTTCGGGAAACGATATCTTGACTAAAATACTCGTTACGGTCAAGAAGAAAAATCGTGATTGATGGCATCATCAGAAGAAATATGTTCATGAAATAAAATTATATTTAGGAAAATTCATTTAGCTTTCCATTAACACTTATACGTGAAATTCATCAAGTATTTTACATATTAATCGTCAGTGCTTTCCTTACTCATAAATGTATAAAATCGAATTACTTTGTATTTTAAAATTCAGAAAGCAAAATTATCATTTAATACTTATTCACGAGTTAGATGAATTTGAATTTTAAATCGAATAGTTTAATATGGCTTACGAATGCTAATAATAGTTACTCTCGAACAGTTTTTCACTCGATAGACGACAAAACAAAGACAAAAACCGCAAAGAATTTGTTTTCCGCATTCTTTTCTATGTAAATGACCTTAGTGACAGGTCTGATTGGTACCTGTTTGATATTTATTACGTGCACAATCTTGGATTACTGAATTCTCAAATAATTATGTTCACTTCTTGACTTAAATTAATCCTCTCAAATTCGACATAAATTCCCTATGATTCTTTTTATTTAAACCATAATTTATGTTGCTATATATTTTCTGTCTATATAATCTGTAGTCTTCTTTTTAGACGGTGGAATGAGGATTACTGACTCTACACGAACGTTTATAACTGAAAAAAAAAGTTATAAAATTTACTACTGGATGGTTGCTAGAGAAAACAGAATTATTGAAATTTAATACTAGAAAATTTTTCTTCAAACTATTTTCTAAAATATTAAAACTTATTCAATCATGTAGACGCAATTATCAGATTAGATCCACGTCTCAAAGGTGGTCAAACAGCGAAGCTGACATCGAGGTGTAGCAGTGACAATCTATTATCTATACAAACAAGAATATTCTTGTCAATCAAACCTTCTATTTATTTCTTCGGTGAAAAGAAAAGAAAAACAGACCTTATCTTCGCATCCTCAACAGCAGGAGATATAACCCGAGGGGAAGCCCCGTCTAGTTTTGTCAACGCTTCTTTACGTTAAGCCAAAATGACAAGGAATGAGGCCACACACATACAAAAACACACATTCATACACTTTTATAAAGTAGACACCTTAATTTATCACTCATTTAACTTTTTATTGACAGGGCTTTAATATTTATAAAGCGCCTTCTCTTATAATTATTATTATGAAATTAACTTAGTTTATATAAAATATCATTATAATAAGTAAATGCATTGATTATTTGACGCGAATCTTCTAATTAACATTAAAATGAAATTTACAGATCAAGGCTTGTAAATGGTATTAAGAAATAAAATAATAATTAATTTTTTATAGAAATTTTAATGCAGTAATTATTTAGAAAATATAGAATCTTGTAGAATGTTTCGCCACTATTCAAGACCGCATTATTTATTTAGAAAGTGATAACATTGAAACTTTCTGTATTCAGCCTAAACAACCTTCGACGAAAAAAGAAAAGTACCCATTCACCGCTTTATAATTATCTTTCTTACAACATCAAGACACTTGTGAAATAATAAAGTAGATCGATATCTGCAATATCTTTTGAAAGCGTAAGAACTGAAAACTAAAATTCTCAGATCATATAATTAAAAGTATAAAAAGATTTCTAATTTCGTAAATATATGTCATATTCTTTTATCTATCTTTTCTGAACGTGTTTCCTTTTGTTTTTTGTGGTTAAAGATATTTATTAAAGTAATATGCCCTACTAAATCACATGTAAAATCATTTGAAAATTAACTAGAACCATACTTTTGAATGTAGGCCTAGGTCAGATTTAATTTATTATAATTATTAAAACTTTTGATGATAATCTGGTTTGTATAAATAATACAAGTTGTTAGACCTTAATACTTTATCATTAGATTCTAAATGTCTAAATATAAAATGTTTCTACATAATTTTTAATTTGAAAACATTTTAATATACTAAAAACATAATTCGTAATGTAAAATAATACATTAATGATTTAAAAATTGAGATAATAAAATTCTTAATAACGTCAATTAAAGCTTAATTTAGACTAAAGAAATCATCACACGTTTCTTTCTATTGTTATCAGTGATATATTATATAGATATTTATTATTTCTCATTACTATCAATGCTTATCTCTTAGAATAAATATGCTTATATAAAAAAGAAATGTCAACTGTTCTATTTTAGCTATAACAATTAATCTTTTAGCCGTATTTGACAATCAAGATATGAAAAGAACCTTTAATGCGCAGGACATCCTGTCATTTTAATTCCGTATTATTTCGATACTAATAATAGCTTCGGGCTAATAAGAAAGAAAGTGGCAGCTTTCTCACTGTTCTATCGGTGACAAGATCTATTTAGCACTTGATAGATACCTACCAGGTCAACGATATAAGAATAAAGGAAAGGGTTTTCATCTACGGCAGAAAAACAGACAACAAAAGAGGATTCAATTCACTCTCTCCGTTTCGTTTGACTAAGTGACAAGGCATCACTAATTCCACACTATCCAATACATCATTAATTGCTTCCAATTGTAAATTATTTGTTAAGCCTTCGTTTCTTTTTTTTTATTTTATTTTTTTATAGATACGATGTGGGTTTTATATATTCTAATGTTATTACTTTAATCTTGAAACAGTCGCATCAGTAGGTCTTTTTGAAATGAGCAGAAAAAAACTTAATCCTGTTATTTCAAGCGTTAGTTCCAGATGATAAATAATTTAATTGCGTTTTAATTATAGAGTCCCAAATTTAGAATTCTACATAAAATTTAGATTAAAATCATATCTATATTTTGATATCTGCAAAATCAGCTCAGCACGAGATGGCATGAAAATCACGTCTAAATTGATCAACAGCCCATATAGTATAAGTGATCCTTAACCCAATAAGATATAACTTTTTAAATGAATATAATATTAATTAGTAGACCAGTATTTCCTAAGCTATAGGCTATTGCTTATCTATCTAATCCACTAAACTGTACAGCTAAAACATATTAATATTTTTAACATTATAATAAAACAATGAAATATAGCCTAATATGCATATAGTATTATAACTTTTTGGCGTAACTTTTAATACAGTAACGGTAATAAAATACTGTATATAACTTGTACGTTTTCTTAACTTTTCATTAAAATATTTATTATTAAAATCTTCATTATAACTACGTATATTATTTATAGATTAATCAAAAATTTTTGATTTAAATATAATAAAAAATGGATTCTTAAACATTCAAGGTATATAATGTTTCAACAATTTTGCGCTTTCGAATAAAACATATGCTTAGAAATTTGAACATCATCTACTATACATGCATCTATCACGTTCTATTGCGTGCCGTATTTGAAATCACTTAATTTCAGTTCAAATTTCATTGAGCATAAGTTTATTATAAGAATAGTAAACATATGAATTAAAAAATTTTAATATAAAAGTAAGTTGAAAAAATAAATATTCACAGTTTAATTTTATATTCTGAAAACTGCTATTAAGATGTATAAATATATGTCCTGAATATTGTAGTCGATGCTTTTGATTAGAGACGTGATATTTTGAAAATATTTTAATAATTGATGTACTGTACATAAGTTATAAATTCTACCTCGAAGGCAATACCATTGATGTCATTGTCTATTGTGGAAAAGTGGATAGAAGTTCTTGACTCATCACGCTCTACTAATTCTTTGATAAACTATTTCACATGCAAAACTAACAGATTATTATTTGTAAAAGTAATTAAAAACTATATAGGCCTATCTTTCTTTTCCTGTAATTTATAAATATTTATCATTTTGTACAATCAAGGTTTTTCCCAGGCAATAAAAGAACAGTTTACATAAATAAAACAATTTTTTTTTAATTTATGGATGTAATTATATTATATAAAACAATAGATTCATTAAAGAATATAAAAATTAATGATTCAGAAATTTATTTATTACCGACGAGGAATCCAAATTTATGTTCTAGTAACTTAGACCGATTTCAGACAACTTCGTTTAGGTTTATATTATTTCTCATGGCCTAGATTTATTATTCTTTTGAAAGTGGTATACTTTACTTCATGATATAAGGATATAATTTAAAAAAATCAAATAAAATTAAAAATATTTTTAGTTAAAATTTAGTAGCATAAGTTGATTAAGATGTGCGTATAGCATAGTCTAAGCGCATAATAAAACTTACAGATTACGTTAATATTTTATAAAAACAGTAAATGAATCACGAAATGTCCAAATTATATTAAATATTAGGAATTTATTACCATACGAAGTGCAAAACTTATGAAATTACTATGGATTTTACTAGCATAGATAAATCAAAATGATATAACAGAAGACATTTAATTTTTAAACACAACTGAATACAGCACGCAATTACTGATTATAGGGATTCTAAGAATTAATTTTGAGTACAATTTAAAACATAATTATTTTTATAAATTTAAAAAACACATTTGAGAAACGCCAACTATCAGCGGATATTAATTAAGCGCGAACCTAATCGTATGATAACAAGATTTATTTAAGTTAAAAGGCAATTAAGTCGTATAAAACTGTTAACCTTTATAAAAAATTTTGTCAAAATTAGAACAATTTTTTTGATGCAGCACTCATTAATAGTAAATATATATATATGTATTAAGATTATTATAATTAATTAATTAAATTCATTTGAAATCACTCGAAGTTGTGCTAATAAAATTTTAAAGAATCGATACTTCCAAATTTGGGCAAAACCTAGTTTTTATCGGTATCGAACGAATCCCATATGCAAAGAAACGCATAACGGGAAACAGGAATCAAACGAAAGAGATTAGACAATAACGACTGCTATATATAGGGTAACGCGTGCAAGACTGAGATGCAACGTCGTGTATGTGACGTCACTATCCCCATAGGCTGTCATAACATCACTAGGTCAAGAGCCCAACTGCTGTATGAAGTAGGCTAATCGACCGGCAGAGAAGACTTTATACTTGGCATTACATCGCTGCATCAGTACGGATCACGTGGACATTACTACTAGTCCGGAAATCGTGGAATAGTCTATCCACAAAAGCGGATATCACGCTAAGTCGAGGAATATTGTTCTATATATTTTTGTAATGTGTATATGTGTATGTGTATATGCGATGTAACTGGAACCTGTTCGGATTGCAGATCTCACTTGGCAAATGCTATGTGACTTTTACAACGTAAGGTAAGAATGTAAAATCCGGTTGTTCGATATCGTTAACTTAGAAAGTGTCCTAAAAATGCCATTCACCTGTTAAAGCTTATATGTAATTATATATTTATATATATTTAGCATTATGAAATGTTTAATTAATCTTCATAAGATGCACTAGAGATACAAAGTAATAATATGTGCATAAATTTTATTGTTTTTATATATAGGCTTTCATTTGTCAGAATTGATTTATAATGAAAGGAAATATGCAAATTCGTTTTTGCTATTAATTCTATTTATAAGAATGAATTATAATATTTTAAACTAGTCCATAATGTAAATGATTTAATTCATTAATAGGATGTGTTTTTATGAAGCCTTCGTGTCGTGTAAATTTAACTTACAGGCCTATTAAATGCTATAAGCATTAATATTAGTATTCAAATTTTTGAACTTTTGTAACAAATTTCCGAAATAATATATTATGAATAGAAAACTTGAATTACCTGAAGGAGGATAAAGAAAACTCTGCGCGACCTTGTCATGCAGAAAACGGAACTAGGAGAGTTTTTTTTCTTCTTTTTTCAGTGGGTGTTATAGCTTTTTGTTACTTAAGATATGATAAAAGTTACACCAATTAGTCTGTTAATTGCTATAATAGTATCGATTATCTATCCACGACTTCCGATATACGGTAAGTTGTAAATTATCTCCATGAGTTAATTTGAGGCGATAAATATTAGATCTTTAATGAAAAATATTGGCTGTAATTAATTATCTTATTTTTATATAATTTACTGTTCTTTTTTTACCGAAAGCGTTTATGTGGAACCGCAAAAACTAAATAGATTATAAATCACTACACAGATAATTATTTTCGGGAAAACTATTTTTGATCTTGAGATTGAACTTGAGATTATATAATCGCAGCGATAAAACTTCGATGCAATATTTACATTTATAAAATAAGGTAAAGTTCGTTTTGTCACTAGCAAGATTTTATTCAGATCACGTTCTCCCTCTTGTTCTCGTTAAGAAAATTGGGCGTAGTCCAAAACCCCTCGCTACTGACCCTCTCCATCCAACAAACACTCGGTCTACAGCTTTAAGAATTTAGGGTGGTCCCAGGAAATTTTATGCCGGATTTACAAATATAGATATCCTCCGGGAGGATAAATATATAGATGGGTATTTTCTATTCAGAATTTCCGGTCTTGTACAGCTGTTCGTATAAAATCCAGACTGGACATTAAAGATATAGAGCAAAGATTACAGTTCTAGTCTTGTAATGTAGTCTCGTTCTTGTATTCGGTTTTCCTCTGATAGATAACGAAGAAGAGAGGTATGATATCAATACAATTGATCTTGCATATTTAGGCTGAGGCAAGAAGATTAAATATGTTTAAGCCGCTCGAAAAAAATCAACTCCTTATTTTTCTGTTTAAATTTTTAAAGTAATTTTAATTGTTAATTATATTGCGTAGGAAGAGTTTAGTTAAAAAAATAATCTAAACATTTTAGCAATGTTACCGTCTTATATAATGTAAGTAGCTTAATCTCAAAATTATTTTCTAATTAATAGATACGTGCTTAATTAAACGAAAGTTTAATTGGTTTGAAGTACAATGGGGCTAAGTAGGGAGTTAAATTTATATCCAGGAAGAAAATAGAGGTACAGTTTCTACTGTAATACATTTTCGTAACAATAAATAAGGTTTCGAAATTATAATTTTCTTTAAAATTCACTGAAGCTTATATGCCTTTTAATTTCTTTAAATTTAATTTATATTAATTTAATTTAAATATTAGAATAACATTTATAGATTTGAATTACATATAAAGCTTTATTTTTTTAAAAATATATTTTTCCTTTATCTAATTTTTTTTTATAAAATTAATAAGCTAGTTTATTAGTTTTACTTACAAAAGCTATGATGTAAAAAATTAGTTTTTATGTAAATATATGAAATTTTATAGTTTTATCGGCATCCGAGAATTTATTTCTTAATTTTCTCCGAGAGATAATAAGGAAAATGAAAATTGTCTGCTTTAAAAATCAAGGTCTAAAGTTCGTATCGTGCAATAGTTCAGATTATCAAAGTGTCTAGGAAACATTCAACAGTGCAGGTGTTTGGGTCATCTACCACGACTTGTCTGACCACTAACCTTTCTGAAGGCTGAAGAAAGTTTTTTTTTTTTATTATTCATAATGGAATTTATTTTTAAAGCGGTTCAAATTTTACTCTAATTTCCCCTAATACCAACGAGTATAATTTTATGATCATCATTTGGATTTATTGTATTTAAAACCGTTTATTAAAAGTTATAAATTATAATTATGCAATCGTTATTTAAATAAGGAACAAATTTTCGACCGTAAATAATACATAATAATATCTAATAAGGACAACGCCTCGCTCTCTAGGTGGGGCCACATATGTAGTAATTTTTTCACACCACAAGTATTATCATGATATTTAAGTAGGTGCACAGGTATCTTTTTACAGCTCTGTTCTATTTGTAGAAGCTCTGGGGAATATTTTTAGATTGATTTTTATACTAACTTTACATCTAGTGAATTAAAAATTAATTTAAAAAATAACGATAAATATTTAAAAATTCGTACAGCTCCAAATTTTAACTAACGTCTTACAACTTGATTTATGTAAAGTCTACTTAATACTGCTTGTTTTATGGGATATGATAATCTATTTAAAGACATTTAATGCATTAGTTATATAACTTTAATTTTCCTTTAAAAAAAATTGAAGTAAAATTCAAAAATTCTCTAAATTCAACAGACAAATGTAAATAGGCCAAGAGCATAATAAGGATACTTATAAAGCTTAATTAACGATAATAAAAATAGAAAAGTAGAATTTTTAAACATCACCCGAAGCAAAAGACATCTATTCTTTCAAACAGGTGGATCATGTCTGTCTTAATTTATAATCTATAATTCAAGACTCATAAATATTATTTTTATTTTTTATAAAAGTTATTACATATGCTGATCTATGATTTCGTTTCTATAAATTCTTCATCCTTATAAGGATTTCATTTAATATCATTTTTTGTTCTATATTGTTAATAATGCAGTCAAATTCTGATACTAACGAGACACTATCATTAATAACTTATTAACAAATAAAATATTCAGAAATTTATTTATATATTATGTTTAAGTATATATGATAAGACATAAGACTTATTTAGAAATTTTTACAATATAATTAATAAATTATCAGCAATAATTTAATATTAAGTTGTACCGTTTTATCAAGCTTCTGAACAAAATAGAGAAGTTATATAATATAAAAATTTATTTTTAAAAATCTATACAAGAAGGATAATATTAATTATATTCTTCAAAAAATAATAATAATTAAAATTGAATAAAGTCTTAATAATAAAATGTCCAGGATAAAGAAAAGACAATCTGACATTTCTTTAATTTGAAACGTTCCATTAACTCACTGGTTCCTCAAAGTAACGTAATTAAAATCCAATCAGTGTATTATTTTGTCTCTATGCTTAAAGGAAAATTAAACACTTAATTTACAATTTAATGAATTTTCAAAGAAAACATCTGAATAAAAAACATAAAAATAACGCAAGAAAATTGTATAATCAGTTTATCTCGTCTACGAACGAATTTATTTGATGTGTGATTTCTAAGCTGAATACATAAATAATCTGTCTTTTTCGAGACATAATTTCGTCGTCATGGACACTAATGTAGATAATAATTTTAAAAACGATCTATAGAAAAGATCTATAAATCTTTCTAGTGATAAGCCTTTATCAAAAAATTTTTCAGTTCCTTTATTTTAGATTATCTACCAATTTTTAGGTTTTTCTTCTTTTTAAATTTATTTAAATATTTTTATTAAAATTCATTTCATTATTGTAGTAATTGCAATTTAATCGTTATGTAATGGAGAAAAATTAAAGAACAAACCTACTTTTTATACATAAACTGTTATCAATTCTTTGAATTAAATGAGATAAGTATGCCAGACTGTTATGTGTATTTTTAAAATAACGAAGGTCAATGATTTATCTCTTAAAATTTTATTATTATTCAAATAGTAAGTGTGAACTTGCACTATTAATATTTACATCACAATAAAGAAATCAGTGGAATAAAACAAAGGTAAAATTTTATGTAATTTTAAAAAATTGCACGAAGTAATATACTAATATTAATTAATTTCTAAGTTAATTCTTTATTAAATCCTTGCACTTTTATAATAATTAAATTTCAATAATATTACAGTTTAAACTTAATTATAAAGTTTTTACACATTACTATTAAAATTATGCTTATGGTTTAATTATCCTCTGCTGAAATTTCATAGATCCAATTTCCACAGTAAGGTTGTTTATAAATAAAATTAATAGGAAATTGCGATATTACTACGCCATGGAAAAGTATAAATATTAAAAATACAAATAAATATTATAACTTTAGCTACAATATTTTCTATGCTTTATTATTTTTCTTCCATTCAATTTCTTTAGAAATTAATCAAGAAGAAATCAATTTTTCTTTCGATCTTTGTACAACATCGAATCAATTTGTTCCACTACATAATTTCTCTTTCTGTATTTAATTTCCTAACTTAATGTCTCCATAGGCAGAAACTTTTCTAATATTCTTTACGTTTAAATATATACTTAACATTAAAATTATGTTCTCTACTCTCACACTATATATTGATTGTTGAATTATCCAAATTCTATTATTATTTAAGCATTAAATTTTAATTGTAAAATCCAATGAAAATATTTAATGGTGGGCATTAAACTAGTTTGATATAATTCCTTCTAGCAATGATGTTTTTATTAGTTATGTAAAATTCATTAAAGAGTAACAATCTTATTAAATAATCGTAATTAAAAATATAAACAGAATCTTCAAAGAACAACCGGTGAAGTCATAACATTAAATATACGTTATCTGCATTATAGGTTCTCTCAATGAAGTATTATACACAGTTAGATGACTCATTAAAAGGAATTATTGC